CAGCCCCTCTTCACATGATGTGTGGAATCCATTTTTTCCAAGAAAAAGAAAATGAGACTAGAAGGAATAAAAATTGTAGGGATTTATGAGCAGGTGTGGCACTTAACTTGACACAGTTATTTTTTTTTAAATGACATTTTAAAGTAATAACCTTTAAAATGAAAAGATGATACACTGCCTGATCAGGAAACGCATCACAACCTAGATCAAGGGATTATACTTTGATTTGTCAATCTGAAAAAACAGATAAACTTTTTCTAATCTACTCTATCATTGAAGCGTATTTATGCCATCTACAATCTCATTACCTTCCCGTAATTTAAGGATACTTTAAACCATGGAGATTTACCTTAAACGGTGGGTTTTTTCAGATCTATAAAATCAAAGAAAGCCAGTCAGCCTGTTGCCTAAAAGCAGCAAGTTTGAACCATTAAAATTACAATATAATCAAAAGTTCACTACACGTTATACTTATTAAGAAAGAAAGATTCATGCTTCAGATATTTTAGATATTCTATCAGAACAAAGGAAAAACATGAGAACAATTTTTTTTAAAGGATTTTGATGAGAATACATAGTTTGGAAGGAAGTGGTTTTCAGCCTCAAGGCAGCACAAGATTAATTGCTATTTTTATTTTAAAATAAAAATCAAATGCGTTATTTCCACAGCTGCAAGCTCCTGACATTGATGACTAGTTTACCTACAGACTTCTCTTCATTGTTTGGCACCAGTGGAAGCTGACAAATGCCAGGAACTTTTAACAAAGTGGAAACATTATTTTAGGTATTCAAAAGACTGCAAAATATCTTTGAAAGTCTGTCTCCAGTCACAGGCAGATTTGAAAAATCTTAGTTTTCAAAAAGTGGCAAATTCTTAAAATATACGTTAATGTGACTACACGTAACACTTGCTGTGTTCGGTCATGTTACTATTCATACTTATTTCTGAAACTAAGTAATTTGTGGCTGTAAGTAGGACATTTTCTAAAGGGTCTGAAGAGCAATATGCTTTCCACAGAGCTTCCAGAAACTCAAAAAAATCCTCTGGTCAATGGTTCAATTCAATATGTTTTTTTCAAAAATCTTACTTATTTTCCATTTGCGTAAATTCCACCCTTGGAATGCCATAGTAGTTGATTATTCATTAAATTTAAATTTACTTTGGATATTAAACTCAAGGGGAATTACCTAATGCATGTCAGATTGAAAATGAGCTGTGAATCTTCGAAGTTAATTTTAGCCTCATGTACGTTAAAAAAGCTTCAAGTTCTTAACTGTCATTTAACATTGAACTGCTTATTCAGCAAAGTTCCTATATTAAATACAAACCTCTTTAAAGCTAATATAAAAAATTGAATCTATAGTCTTTAGAAGTTTTATACAAGCAACTTCTCAGTTTTTCTTCAATATATTTAACCTCGGTAACATGACAAGCGAGTCTCAGTAAACAGTCATTTTTCCACATTTCAGCTGCTTCCAGTATTACGTGAACTTCAACATGAACGGGAGGAAAAACGAGGTGAGATTCTCTTCAGTCTGATGACCAGCTGTACATGCTGGTTGGGTTTTTTTAATATCTATATATATACACACACACACAGACACACACACAGAGTTTTCAAGAAGTTGATGATCACAGATATGTCACAGAGCAGCCAAAAGTCATCATGTCAGCACTGGTAACCATTTGGTGAAATCACATTGCCTGTGTTAGCCATGTCGGACTAAAATGTGATAATTTCTAGCCCATGAGTCTAGAATCTTTTCAAGTTCGGGAGGAAGTTTCATTAAAAGATTTGCATCCAGTTCTTACTGTTTTCAAAGCGACTTAGATATTATCTGGAACCACACAATTCACCAATAAAAGGAAATCTTCAGGGGAAGTACCTTATATTAGACTTTACGTAGTTTGCCTTTACAGTACTTCACCAGTTCTCTTGCAGACTTGAAGAGATAAGGGGTTGTGCCTTGAAGTATATTATCACAGAGATACATTAGAGCTCAACAGATGATTTTTGGATTTCAGTGGAGGAGCATAAGAGAGAGAAACTTATTTTCAACACTAATTCAACTTGGAATTTTCACTGCATCTATTTTAAAAGTCATTATATCATAATTGTCTGCAAAACACTTGCCAATCTTGGTTTAGATCAAAGTGGAATTAAATCCAGTTTTTTGTCTTAATATAGCTGCACTCGCCCTTCATAGAGAGAACAAAGTTCTCTCAAAACACACTAGAGCAGCATGAATGGAATGCTGATTGTACTTTATTCTCCCTCAAGTACCTCTTTGAAACCCAGGAAAGCAAAAGGGGGCAAATAGGAAGTTTGTAGTGTAAATGACCCATTCTGCAAGTGGCATTCACTTGGTCGCTTGTAGAAAGGAAGAATTTTATGCTGATTTCTCTTTCTGAAAGCTAAGTATTAGTTTGACTTAATGAGTTCCAATTTGTAGTTGGAACACACATCATCCAGGAAATCTTTACAGTCCATATGGGCTTCATTACACTAGTGATCTTCATTACCACTCTACAGAACGATTTACCTCTTCAGTTCCATGAAACTCTCAGGGAACGGAGGATGATTTTCCAAATAAAATTTTTAAAAGTACTCAGCACCTTAAGACAAAGATGACATCCCACGCAACAAGACCCAGACTAGAAACAGTGATTTGTGTTAGACAACTCAGCATAAAGAACACTGCTGCCACATTGACCAAAGGTTTCTTTGAGAGGCTTTTCACTGACAGCTGGGCATCTCTGGTGTGGGGGGTTAAAGCTCTATTTGAGGACACATTCTCTCAAAGTTTGGGTGCACATGAAAGAGAGGGACAGAAAAAAAAAATCAAACAAAACCCACACTGTTAAAGGTGTCTGCTGGGTGCCTTAAATTCAAGCTTGGTACGTACCAGGATGTGTTCCTCATTTCAGAATAGCTGCTGATACAGTTAAAGTAACATTATAGCACTTTTTTTTTTTTATTGAGAATGTGCAACATGGTACTTTCACTTTAGCAAGCACAAAATTTGACAGGAATATTCCGTCCAGAAATACTTCTCAAGTTATGCAATCACTATTCAAGCAAGGGAAAACAGTAAAAGTGTGAAACTATCATACTGTTTATATTCTTTAAAGAATTTGGCACATGGAGGCACTCCTCTACATACTTCAGAAAATGCAGTTTTGATAGATCACCACCAGGAATTTTACACATTTTAAAAACCAGTAACATAAGAAGCAACATGGCAGGAGAAGGATGTTCATCCAGCAATCACATTCTGAACAAGTTCAAGTGATAACTCGCTGCCCTGACGTAGATTAAATAAATCATACGTATTATCGCTAATCTAAACTTCCAGCCTCAGAAAGCATCCTGTTGGGCTGACTGTTTCTTTTTATAAGCATTCTTCTCCTCTTAGTTCACTGTTTTAATTTTTCAACTCTTGTTTTATCCTAGTGGCGCATGTAGTATAACCTCTTTCTTTCCAAAGGAGAAAAGCTTTCATGTAAGAAAAGACTTAATATTTGTTAAAGATTATTCTTCAAACGTTATCCCCAAGTTACAGAACAGTTTGAGAACTCAAAGTTAATATTAAGTCAGAAGTGTTTCTAATTACACCCAGTAAAGCATTGTGAATAATCCTGATGTCAGCATTTTAACTCAAAGTAGCCTTGAAGAAATAACTTAAAAGAAGAATTTTTGCCTTCAGTCCAACAGCAAAGTAAAGACTGCCCAGTTCAGCAAACAGCTGAAAAACTCATTTTTGTTTTGATCTAAGAGCAAGAACCGGTACACTTCACTGAAGGCCAAAGTTACACACACAATCAAATTTAAATTAGGAACCATGTGAAGCCTAGCTGTCAGAGTGCAGCAAGGTCCTCAAAGACCTTCAACATATCACAGTCAGATTCTTCACCACTCATGAAAATAACCACTCTCTGCCTTGAAGTGTTTGCAAGAGCAAGACCTGCATGTGTAATACTGGAGGCAGTTTCAGGAATAAGATAAAAAGAAACTGAAGTATTCCCCTTGGAGGGATTTAGTCCTTTTTTGCCCTGCGACTATGCAGGATCACTTCTGTAAGGGACTCTGCGCTCCAGACCATGTGATCTAAATATTTACTCTATGAACACTATTAAAACTCTCCTCTGAAGCCATTAAACATAGCATTTTCAGCAAGTCAAACAAAACAATTACTATTGTTATATAGTTTTAACTGCTCTTATCAGGTAGAACCTGACCTGACTGCTCTCCTCAACAGCTCTTTGTAACTCACGAGAGCCACACAGCTGTGGTTTTGGCTGAATATACCTAAAAATATCAAATACCTGATTCCTTTCTATTTTCTAAAAGAAAAAAGGGAGGGAGAGGGGGAGAGAGAGAAAGAAGAGGGAACCTAATCAGGATTTTCTTTTTTTGTTACTATTTGTAACACTGGTGCACAGATTAGCAACCATGCACCTAAAAGGCTTTCTGTTCACCTCTCTGGCCTCCGTAGCAATTGGTTTTTTTTTTTTTTTTGGTTTTGTTTGTTTGTTTGTTTTTCTCCCCGCAAAGTATTACCAATGCTCAGAACACTTTCTCCTCTTTCATTCAGGCTTATCCTTGCTTTCATGGCTTTCTCTGTGCTCTCTAGTCCTGTAAACTCTATACTGATGAAGATGCAACACAACAATCTTTTAATCAGTGTACTTGACGCTTTCTCCCATGCTAGAATAGATTGCTCCCAGTAATCGACTGGGAAGTACTCTTCGAGCCTACTTTTGCTCTAACTTTAAAATAGATCTATGAACTATATCTAAACTTTGGGAGAAAAGGAGACCACATTATGTAAAAAACAACTCTGGGTAGAGAAGAAACCATCAAAACGCATACCTCTCATATTTTGTATATCATTTCAGATTTGTGTGTTCTACAGTACCTATTAAACAGAGCCCAGTAGCTACTTAGCAATACAAGGAACTGTCAAGGAATAAAATTACAGGAAAAATTAATACTTACAGCCATAATTAACTCAAAAGGGTGTTTATACACCCGTACGGGGGATTGATACTTCTGCACCATAGCTGCAGTTAGTAAGATCAACTCAAACCTGAAAAAGAAATTTTTAAAACCATCTGTCAAACGTAGGAAGCAATTTTCAATCTTCTCTTACAATTATTCTGTGCAAGATACCACACTAGCAATTCTAGAGGAAATCCGTCACAATTGCCTGATGACTTTTTTTTTTGAAGACGCAATGGGGCCCTGAAAAGCTATGTATATTTTTGTCAGAAATGACTTATCATTTCTTCCCAAGGCGACACAAAATTAGCACATTTTCAGTCCAGTTTTAGTAACAAATCTTCAACACGCTTTATGACTCCTCATCAGGACGGCGAGACTTCCTGTGCTGCTGCGAGAACCGAGCACCGACACAGGCCAGCTAAAGGCAAACAGCACTCCCCAGTCCCCCAGCACCGTAAGCAGGCTGCCTTGCTTACAGGTCATTTTGTATCGGGACTGGGTTAAAAAAACAAAAGGAAAACAAAAAAGGACATTAAAAAATATACCAACTGTTAAAACCCCTTGTTTTCAGAAAGAAAAAATGGATCACTACAGCACACTGAAGTAAGGCATTCCTTCAGCATTTCCAAATCAAATTAACTAAGACTTTGGAGAGAGAAACTTAAGAGATAGCTGGGGAGAAAAACTTCGGGAAACTACAAACATTCCAATGTACAGCCAGAAAAAATTCACTAGCAAAACAGACAGGAGCTGTTCCAATGGCTTCGTGTCCGCTTTCCCCAGCGAAGTGTTTGACCCAAACTCTTGAATGCAATTACGTTTATTGAAAGAATACTGGCAGCAGCACTCGCAGATGAAACCGCGGGCTGCTAGCCAGACTCGTTTTAGCGAGAAGTGGCTTTATTACAATAAGTTAGCATTATCTTCATTTTTAATGCGTTCCCACGTTATCTACAGCGCTTCTGGAAAGCGTTATCGGCCCCGCTCAGGAGCGCGGAGGTGGGCACCGCAGCTCCTCGGAGGCGAGAAGCAGCCGACAATAAACCCAAGAGCCACAGGCAGTTCGCCCGACGTCCAGTTCAAGAGCGGAATTCACCCACGACTACCCTGCATTTAAAAAAAACCACCTGAATCAGCAAAAAAAGCCGCCAGCCCTCTCCGATCCCCGGACAAAAAGAGTTACACAACAAAGAAACTCAAGGCTTCTCCTCCCCGCTCGCCCGGGCAGCGCCGCCGCC